GGGGGTACAGGCGGCGCAGTCGGTTGTTTGCTCCGCACTAGCGGCCAGTGCAAGTTCTGATTGCTCTGATTTCCCCACGGGAAAGCCCTACGGACACATTCGCTGCAAGATTCTCCCCTGCCCAGAGGGTGGAACAAAGTAAGAGGCAGGTGGTACTTTCATTCATGATAAAAACACCAGATTTGGGCAGTCTGCGCCAGGATAATTACCTCAAACTGAAAGGTGAAGTGTTTCTCTCCAGGTTAAGCGCAGTGAGAGCGTGACTTGTTTTCCTCAGGTCATTTTTTAAAAATAACAAAACTGCTTATGAAAACACACAAACACGAGCGTGCCCCTCCGCTGCTGCAAGGATGAGCGTTGGCACAAGTAGCACGTGAGCGTTTCACTCGTGTTTGCACCAAACTGATTTATAAAGTCCCATCAACAGCACCTTGCGAGGGCTCCCTGAGGTGACACAGAGGCAGAGGGTCCCCACACGCTGATCACGCACTGCAGCGTGGATCAGAATTAACACAGAATTAACATGTGTATCACAATTAATACAGAATGTTTTCAGCCAGGCTGACAGTCAAACTGGTGATGGACAAGGTAAATAATTGGATACCTGGTTACTGGACCAGCAAATTGATTTTAATACATCAGTCTTGAGGTCAAAGTCTCCCTTGACGGCTCACAGCATTAACCACTATCACCATTTCTGTGCAGCAGGGTGCATAATTTGTGCATTTTTTTTTTAAAAAAAGGAAAAAGGTCAGGGACTGAATGACTGTGCACTTGGTAGGAGAATTTAAAGCCTCTTTCCAGGTTTGCAGCTGAAGCCCAACTAGGCAGGGGCAAAGGAGAGGGGTCACTGCGGGCCGGCCACCTGGGGCTGGGTGGCTCTGCAATCGGTGTCTCCGGGTAGAGTTTTTCAGTAGAAAAACACCCTGTTTGGTCAATACTGAGTGACTCATTCCCTGCAGAACCCCACAGACGAGCCAGGTCTGGACAGGTCCAGACATGGATTCACTGGGAGCGGTACCAGGGCTCCAACGGGCGCCGTGGGCCGCTGCCACCACCGTCACTGACACGAGGGGTGGCAACTCCCAGCACAGGGACTCGGAAACATCGGCCGGGGGAGGGAGAAAAGCCTCCTTTTTTCCTGAATTCACACCAGGCTGGTTTCCGCTGAGGAATTCTGGTCACCTCTAGTCTTTTCTTCCACCCAGCAGTGGCCCCTGACAAAGTGCAAATCCCGGTGCCTCCGCGAGCAGCCGGAGCAGCCGCTCTGCCCCGGCCCCAGCAGGGAAGCGGCTCAGGGAGAAGCACAGTGGGAAGGAAGGGAAATACCTGGTGTTTCTGGCAAGCTGCTCCACAAACCCGGCGTCCAGCACCTCTGACACTGGCGTTATCTGGGCAGCTGAAGAACTTCTGTAATAAAGAAATAACTCTGGATGGGTATAGTTGGCTTTATTTGCCTGCTACATCAAAATGTTGACGTGAGGAACTTAGGAAACTAGGAATGTTATGGACATCCCTAGGCCTCTGTGAAGGAAAAAAAGGGATTTCCTTAGGCGTGATGCTTTTCTTCTCAGTTTGTCTATCAAAAAACACCTTTCCAGAAGGCCGGAGCACCCGAGCGCTGCAGGGACGGTGCTAGATGCAGATGAGCAGTCGCGGGTATTCCTGCAGCTTCTCCGAGCACCCCCCGACGCCTCCGGAAAAGGGCCAGGAAAGGGGCTGGGTGACGTCGGGCGCGAGAGACCCGTGGGGAACCGGAGCCTCGCGGAAGGGAAAC